ATTTACTAAAAACATCCTACTCGTAGTATTTGGAATTGTTTCCTGATACCATATCAATGCTAATACTAAAAGTGTATGGCACTCATAAAACAACCCTAAGTTACCGTTATACATACACTCATCCACACATATTCGCAGTGTTACTGTGGAATCTTATGGCGCGCGTCTTCGATTATCGTCGCCTCGGGTGCGCGTCAGGTTGAGGAATGCGGAGACATACAGTCGCCAGGCCTCAGTGCGCCGCGCCCTTAGATCGTATCTTTCCTTTGCGAAACAGAATATTTTTGTGTTTGCCCAAAGTAAGTGTTGCTACATTGCACCTCTCCAAACCTCGTGATAAATTGGCTTTGGGTTTGTTCATATACTATCCGTACAAAAAGTCATGAGCACCGTTCTACACAGGCTATAATTTGAAACTAGAAATTTTATAGTGCTAATCTCTGCACTTAAGATGAAACATTAATCGAACCCACGTCTTGCAGCGCCCAGACTTTTAAATCTCACTAAGCTAAACGGCTGATTGCCACACGGACCAAAAACTTCTCGTCCATTTTTTCTACATATTTCAATGTTTTCAAGACTTTAATTTTCGAACACGCAAAGTAAAGGTTAATTATTTATTAATTTAGATTTAATTATGTACTTTGATTTGAATGAAACGCATTATAATGATAATGGAACGCACTATAATCATAGACCTCGTCAACAGTTCTAAAACTTGCTCCTTTTCTAGTTATTTATATGAATAAAATGCAAGGAAATCGACAATCATTATCTAATAATTGAAATTATAGGATAAGGAAATCATTCGCACGGATACTAAAATGTAACTACATAACAAATAATGGTTTCTCCTTGAAATGTTGCCTAGCTACGAGATATTTTAACTTTTAACTACGCGGTCTTACACTGTACGCCTTACAGATTTTGAAGCCGACCAGTTTATGATTAGTAAGGGTCCCATTTGACGTACGTTTCCTTGTCTCCGATTTAAAATTAACCGCTAAATGACATCACGAGTGTCGGCCATGATTTAACTATTGAACGCCTTCGTTAACTTTTTTTCTTTTACGAATATATTTGATGATATACACCAAGCACCGCTTTAGTATTAATCAATCCTCTTTTGTGATGGTTCGTTTAATTGACAGGTAAATATTAAAGAGCTCTCTTATAAGAAGAGTGTGGGACGTTCCTAAGGCCTAAAACCTACCTTATTTCAAAAATTACATAGAGGCGAGAGTGAATGGATGTCTTCTGCGTGGATGGAATCTTAAGCGTTTATTCAATTTTGATAAAAAATATTTCATTCTGTTGCCCTTGATCAAACTCGTGAGTACTTCTACCTTTTTGTAGTGTACTTATAATTTAGCTTTTCATGAAACATAACTCATTAATGTACTTTAAAATAAATATGAAACAAACGTTTCTTTCTTCTTGTCTCATCTAGAGACAACATTTAGCTATATTGCAGAAGACACTGAAACCGACAGATGTAGCCTGTTTCTATGTCTGTTTTTCGTGTGTCTATTTATTAAACCGATCACTCATCGGGACGCGCTCACCGGCCGCGTATTCAAACCCGACTCCTAGCTCAGCGCAACCGTTGTGACGTAACGTCCACGCAGCCTCCCAATCCGTAATCTCAGCATCTTGCGTACGTTGCGTCGGATGATTAACTGGTCGCTGCGATAGCGCGCATGCCGCCGCCGCCGAGGGACGGCCGTGCCGACAATATTGTCTCATTTACTGCTAATGATCTATTGACTAACTCTGTACTTGTGCGCCCTCGGAATCGAGTTAAGTGCCAGTGCGTATATAAAAAGTTATCGCTCGTTGATGCCGTGTTCAGTGACAGAAGAGGAAACTTTGCAGTTTATTAGTACAAAACTCTAGCGTCTTTAACGATAATGAAATAGGCAGTAATAGTCGCTGTCATATTTTCACTGAGCGAAGGCCTGAACTTACCAGATAATAAACCTTAGTGTGACGTTCGATGTTTAATATAGAAAGAGTTCGTGTCTCATTTTTCTTTTATTGATCGTGAAGTTGAAGGCTGATAAAGAGTGTAGCTTTGTTGGTTAAAATAATGAGACCGCGAATGCTTTTTGCAAGTTTATTTGGAGAATGTACACTTCCTTTGTACAAATTATTCTTTATACCTTTCTCTTTTCACATTACAAGGGAAAACAGTTATCCTTAGTTACAAAAATATTAAATTTGTATAACGTACATCCGTCCGCTTCTTAGCCTGACATTCAAGCCTCTAGCTGTATGGAATATTAAAATATATGGAAATTATATTTGTTAGATCACAATATTGGCGGCTCGCTAATGTTAAGTGATAACTGCCGCCCATGGACATTTGCAACACCCGTGGGGTTGTAAATGTCCATGCGGCATTGTGATTGTATGAAATCTAGATAAATTAAGTTAAGACGTTGATATTTTTGTTGATTATCGGTGTATTAAGACTAGCTACATCTGATCACCATATGAAAATGAATATTCAACAAATGAACTAACTTGCCAGCTTTGATTCAAAGTTTTAGAAGTATATTTGGGTGATTTGACAAGTATTGCGAAACATAAACCTGCTTTTTCTGTTAAAGGTTTTTTTAAATAGAATATGTAAAAAGCTTCTAAGCAAAGATTCAGCAAATCTGCTTTTTGAAGAACATTTTGGCTCGCAAAACTTTGTCCCATCCGCTTTGTAGTCTCTTCTTTGATTCCACATACAATAAATCGACCCCGAGCCTCCTTTCTATAAACCTACGCTACGTATAATTTCATGTATATACGTATCCAACGTATAATTTCACGAAAACGTAATAACACATCACGAAATTGCTGTGATCGGAACAGCCTTCGATGGCTCGCCGTGCGATCTTTCCAAATTACTCAATAACCTCCACCGTGCGGTGTTGATTCTACAAACGCTATTGTTCTACCAACATAAAGAAATATCACGCGTCCAAAAATTGGTGACCCCTGCATGAAGGTGTAGCAACGTGGCCTTTGTGGTTTTTTTTTGTTCACATTTTGTTAATGTGTTCTTTTAGTAATTGTTTAAAATTTGGAAAAGAAAGAGAAATATATTGTGTGTATATATACAAAGAGTATACTGGTGGACTGGACAGACGTCCTATACACACGACTTAAATCCGACATAAACTTATAAACAAAAAAAATTAAAAAAATTGTGAATCTCTACCATTCTCGAATCGATCTGAAGACACACAAAAATTTCAATAAAATCAGTCCAGCCGTTTAGGTGGAGTTTAGGGGCATACACACGCACAGAAGAATTATATATGTAAATATGTAGAGAAGGCCTATGCCGAGCAGTGGGCTGATGTAGGCTGACGGTGATGATGACGACGATGATTATATATAGTCATTCAATTACGTGTATATTATAGTCATTCATTCAATACGGACTCTACTTTTGTTATAAGGTGGCAAACGATCGGTATGCGATAACCACAGCCTATGGACATTTATAATTAAATAGTTTGTATAAATTACCATAATTATGTATAAAATATAGAGATGAAAGTGATAATATCTTAAGATTAAATAAATATAAAGAAATTAAATAAGTGTCACGCTGTTTGCGTTATGATTGTGTTCGGATGCGTTTCCATCGCTCTTAGCTTCATATCATTCTCAGAACTCAGATAACGCGACGAAGACAGGCTCCTATTGCTATTCACACTGTCATATGCAATAAAGAAGTGGTGTTTTTTCTTTTCACACAAAATTTAAGAGCACCAGATAAGCGATACCGCCGTCGAAACTCTTATCGCCCAAACGCTACGTATTACCGAAAATAAAACAACTCTGATAATTTTTATCTACTCTCCGCTAAACAATAGTGATTTTTAAATGTTTAACTTTAATTTATATTCCGCCTTTGATTTTCATACGCTACGAATATTATTCCTCTTCCAAAGTGGACAAACAGACTTTAAATTAGTGGATATTACCGACCCTGCATTTAGAATCTACGTCTTTATCTAACGGGAAAGATGTCAAACACGCGTGGCTTATTATTTGTATAGTACTTTAAATACGGTTAAACAATTTAATGGATTTTAACGCGTTTAAATTTTATTTTTAATTCCCAATGTTTCGAACCCTTCCCAGCATTCATGGTCACGTGACACACAACGCAGTAAATGTTTTGTACCGACGTGAATTTAAAATAAGATTAAAACGTTATAAAATCCGTAAAGCAGTTTAATAGTATCATGTGTAATATTCGCGTAAAAAGGAAGAAATCAAAGTACTTCAAATGTTTTTTTTTTTATTTTCATCATAATTTCTACGCGAAATTTATTACGGGAAGTAATTAATAACAATGCAGGTGCATTCATTGCTGATGCACGAGTCTTCAAAAGCATTTCTGATTGGGCGGTAACATAAAATTTACTTCAAGTCTTTAAATATTTATTGGCCCGGTAATAACTTGATATTGACATTATTATATGCGTTAAGCTTTGCAAAAAGCTACCGTTTAGTTGAAAAAGGGCCTATACGCTGACATTTTTTTGAACGTTGCCCATAGTTTAGAATAACGTTATCCTGTGTAAGGACGTTTTACAAAGAAACAAATTTCACATGGACAAACACCCAGATGCGAAACAACTTTCTGTTGGTCACACAAATAGTTGTCCCGTGTGTGAATCGAACCCACTACCCCCGATGCCGAAGCCAATACCTTGGCAACTGCGCCACGGAGTCATCGACAAAGTTAAAGCAACAACAACAAACACCAAACAGACTAAGAAACATTTTTTTAATAAGAGTCTAAGCTTGATACAGTAAGCACGATAGATTTAAATAAATATTATTTTGTTAATCACTACATATTATAAAACAAAGTCGTCTCGTTGTCTGTCTGTCCCTATGTTTGCTTATATCTTTAAAACTACGCAACGGATCTTGATGCGTTTTTTTTTACTAGATAGAGTGATTCGCGGCGGGCCCAGACGGAGATGGACGAACACACCTGGACCTCACGCAGCAAGTCCAGTTCGAACAGACGAACAGACGAACTGGACCTGCCGCGCATCACTCTTGCCGGGACATTTGCGAGGAATAGGTCTGGTATAGCCCACGAAACGGAGGAGTGGCAGAAAGAGAAGGAGGCCTTTGCCCAACAGTGAGACACTAGTGGCTGAATACGAATACGAATACGAGTGATTCAAGAGGAATGTTTATATGTATAATACCTTGCACCCGCGCAAAGCCGGGGCGGGTCGCTAGTTATATCGTAATTTAATTATGAAGACAACTACACAAATTAAGGATGAAATACCTATGTAAAAATAGTTTAATTTAATAACTAAATTAAAAGCTCAATACAATCCAAACATTTCGTCGTATCTTGAGGTTTGTACAGTTTACATAGTCATTGCCAATGTTTTTACCAACTGATAAGCATACAGAAATACTAGTCGCGCAAAGAAACCAGCAGATACTGTAGACTTGCAACTCCACTATCTGTATACAGCGTGTCGTTACAACCGCAACAATAAATTTACACACATATAGAGGATAACTTTTTAAAATTGTATTAAGCATTTACTTTCTTTAAACATCAATATACAATTTACCGAGTTAATAAATTTTACAAAACAAACATTTTAAGAATACCCTTACGTATAAAACTGTAACGTAAAGTTCATTTGTAAAGGTTTTGTGACCTTTACAAATGAATGGCTTGAATGAATTTAAAAGAGATAAAACATAGTGCTAGAACGAGAGACTTGTAATGTGCCGTTGTGGCAACGAATGAAAAAGTCTCTGAATGTATGAATCAGTCAATTGTAGTTGTATCAAATTTTGTTTCTTTTTTATTTAATTGGTTTGTTTGAAAAATATATTTTTTAATTATGGATTTTTTAACGTTTTATATTTTTTTATGATTATTGCCAAGTAGCGTTAGACGTGTGATCATTTATTGTCGCGGTTGTAACGACACGCTGTATATAAATTTCTTGTGTCACAATGTTAGTTATAATACTCCTCCGAAACGGCTTAATCAATTTATATGAAGATTTAAATGTATATTCTGTAGGTCTGAGAATCGGTCGTCATCTATTTTTCATACCCCTAAGTGATGAGGGTGGTCCACCCCAAATATTTTTTTCCACTCTACAAATTCCCTAAAAATAATTTACGTGGCAAAACAACGTTTGCCGGGTCAGCTAGTCTTTATACACCCGTCCCGCGTAGTTTCTTTCGCCGGTGCTTCTCAAATCAGTGGCTTTTCTTTTCCTAACCGTTGGTAGCGTTTTGACAACCAACAAGTAAGTGTAATGCCTCTATCTCTATATATAAAAATGAATCGCTGAATGCTAAGTGCAAATCTCAAGGACAGCTGCCTAAAAAATTGCCTGAAAAAGTCTAAAAACAACACTTTTCTATATTCCCTACAAAAGCTTCGTAATAATAGTTAAAAGTCAATTTGAACCTTAATACCATATCAATTGGGTGACGTTAGTGTCGTATAAATATTATATCAATATTGAACATTTTGTAATAATTTTTTTCTAGATAGAGTAATTCAAGAGGAAGGTTTATATGTATAATACATCGTGCGAAGCCGGGGCGGGTCGCTAGTATTGAATAAAGATATTTGAATATACAAAATATATCGCTACAAATACCTAGAGCACAGACTGGACCATTCGGTGCTCGTGTCGAATTTACCGTGCATGCACCGTCCGGGCCATTAGCTCCATCAATAATATTCCCCCGCACAAAGCGCTTCGCCATTTCACTAACCCCCGTCCGGAATTAATTTCATAGTGAGAGCGCGGCCTCGCAATTATCGCCGCCCCGATACCAAGCGCCCGGTAATGGAGATATCGTCTCATCTTCTTTATTGCAATAATGAAATATAGAAATGGCCGCACCGCTGAGGATTTACAGCGCTCGCTCCGCTCTGGCCGTGTCGGCGATTGCGGGAAATATATGTTATTCTACCCTCGTGCTTTGCCATCGAACTTCTTCGCGAACGCGATAATGGATATTCGTGTTTTGATTTACATCCGTGCATCGGCGGTCGTGGTTGTTGGGACTTCCTATTCGGTTGGCCCGTTGAAATTTGTGTTGACGCCCGTACGCTACGATACGCCACACTTGTTGTGCCTTAATAAAACTAATTTATTGATTTTATCGTGGTTTACAGCGGTGACAATAACGCTGTACTTTATTCGACACATCGGGAGTTTATGATTACAGCAATCCCGCTATAAAATCCGTAAATTAGTTTTACTCAAATATGTTACATTTACTTAAATAAAACAAATTATCGTTAAGTCATGGATCAGTAACCGTGATAAACACTGATCAAGAAAGTTAACATTTATACTGTATTTTATATTATTTTCGGCTCATAATCCCCACCAGATCTTTGTGCAATTATAATTAAGAGTAGCGTATACTCCTATGGGTCTTCATTGACCTCCAAGGCGTAAGGACACATTTTGAAACCGCGTGGATTTAAGAATAAGCTGTATTTAACCCACGGTGCCTATAATATATTTAGTTCTAAGGCCTTATTAACTCTAACTTAAATGCTGAGATGCTTACGGAGTGGAACGTCGGCTCACGATCTTGAATTTGGATCCAATGTGATGTAACGGTTTTTACAATTCGGGTATAATCGCTGTCTTGGGATTTTCGTCTGAAGTACGGCAACAGATTAGTGCCTGTCACGTTCAAGATAAGCTCAGCGAAATGTCGACATCAATAAACAACTCTGGGTGTTTGGAGTTGTCGGATGATTTGTTCGCTGCACCGGATGGTTCTACTTAGAGAGACTTTCCACGGTCTATGCGTATTCGGAATCTTATATAAAGAAAGAAAGAAAGAAAATACATATATTTACCATAGAAAAGACGCACACAACAAAGAAAAACCTAAGTTTAAAAAAATAAAATAATAGAAATACATACTACTGTTATTAAAAAGAAATAAGAAGTTCAAATTTAAAACTATGCTTATGTAAAATGATACTAAAAATATATTTAATATTAAATGAAAAGAATTAGTTGTACGCTATCATCATCATTTAAGCCTGTTTGAGTCCACTGCTGAACATAGGCCTCCCCCATAGACTGCCATGAAGTACGATCCTGAGCCACCTGCATCCATCGACTTCCCGCACATTTGCACAGGTCACTTGTACGCTATATTACCGGTTAATTCAGCAGCTCAGCATATAGCTGCCCCGGAAGTCAAAACCGCAACACGGTGCTCATTTTCGTTGACGACCTTCGTGTAGACCCTTCTGTAACCGAACGCATCAACAAACAAACAAAGGAGCGTGATCGCTCAAAGCCCGCAGAGAAGCTCGTCTTCGCGTCCTCAAAACGCTTCAGTCGTCGCGGGATCGGCTTGTGTCGCATCTAACAGCGTCATTCATCAGCACCGCGCACCCGTCCCGCCGAAGATGTGAAACGCCGTTCTCCAATTAACCAAAATGACCATCGGACGTGTTTTTGTCCAGCCCCGAGTGGCGCAATCAATCGCGGCACGGATTCCGTGTCCCCCCGTGGGCCGTGCATAAATAATCGGACGCGATCGGTTTGTTAGCGCACCGCTCGACTCGGGCGAATTGATCTTTCGCCCCTCGGGACGCCCAGCTCCGGTGCTGCCACTCGAGACGTCTCGCAACGGTCGTCGGTAAAAACCGACAGGCTATGACGCTTGTCACGTGCTCGGCGGTGAAGGGACACGTTGCGAGGGAACCTGCATTTTTTCGTAGCAATAATGTAAAAAAATGTATTCGTATCTATGTAGAGTCTGGTGGACTATGCCCTTATACTCTCTGTACAGAGGCCTTTACCCAGCAGTGGGACATATATTATATACGTATGTCATATATATGTACTTTATGATTAATAATATTCATATACATATTCGTATATCCACACATTATATTTAATTTGATTTTTATGTATATATTTTCCTACTTTTATTTACTTTAGTTTTAGCACCTACCATCTACTTCTCACCATGACAAGGGTTGACTGGTAGAGAATGCCACTAGGCATTAAGTCCGCCCATTGTAGCCTTTAGTCTAAGGTGTAACAATGAAGTATAAATAAATAAATAAATATAGGCTGTTACTTCACTTTATGATGCTCCTCGATATGATTCGATCTCTTCTCGGGTTGTAGACAAACATGTTGTGGGCATTGTAATCCGTGACGATATTATGTCCTTTCGCTGCGGTCTTTTGGCGATATATAAAAGCGTCGTTGTTTTGTTTTTTGATTAATGTTTAAACATACTTTCAAGTTTCGTCTTAAGTGCTGAGATTAGCAATAAAAAAAATATTAAAAAATGTGTAATCAGTTTGTCAAAACAGTGTTTTTATGTATCGTAATACTTTTTTCCAGGTATTTGCAATCCCACCCGTATGGACAACAGCGTGTGAACCCACGGAACATAAATGTAAGTGTTCCTTTCTTTGTATAGACACAAACAGCTTGCAGGCAAAGCCGTGGTCGCCAACATGTTCTAATCGGAATAAAATACATATATTTACACACGGCGAAGAGTATCCGATGCGATATGTACACGTAAGTGCAGTTTATTAGGTGTATTCTTTTCAAATTTCACCTTAATCCGTTCAGCTGGAATATGACACGAACGTCGGCAGCGTTATTTTCATTGTCAGAAACGATTCAGGTGCGTAGTAATCTGTTAGCGAGGAAGGCGGGTTGCATAAATATCTGACACTACATCAGGGCTAATATTACAATTAAAGCTCAACGTGCCAATGAATTGATCCGTTCGAATCCGCCAGCGGGATCGTAAAAGCGAGGTTTTACATTTTAAGGGCTCTAATATGGTCGCTATTACGTTATAAAAGCTAACAACGCCGGTCACGTCACCCTGCACAAATGTCCCAGTTTATTGACAATAAAAATCGGCCAGTCTTTTCATCCTTATCCTTACTTATATTATAAAGGCGAAAGTTTGTATGTATGGATGGATGTTTGTTACTCTTTCACGCAAATACTACGGCATGGATTTTAATGAAACTTTACAATAATAGCTTATACATCAGAATAAAACAGGCCATAATTTATATACATATTTTATGTGTATTTGTCTTTCTGTCTGTATGTTACGCCTTCAGCCTTATTCTACGCAGACGTAGTTGCGGGCAGCGGCTAGTACAATATAAATGTCAGTCATATCATAAAATAAAATAAAATATCGAATAAAACTTATTCTTCCTTCAACGGTCCAAATGGTTTCATAATTGAATTACAAAGCGGAATCCGATATTCAAACTTACTGACAGAGTTGTTCATTTAATTTAAAAAGATAGTTACAGTTATAAAACTAAAAACAACAGTGTCTATTACGGGAAGGTGAATTTATACTTCTTTTGGCGTGTAAGGAAAAAAAATTTACGATTCACTCGCAGAGCGACATGAAATAAACACTAAGTTATTTGATAAATCTCCCTTTAGTGATGTGCCTTACATCAATATTATATGAAAACTCAATACCTATACATTCAAAATAAAATTTCAATTTTATAGCTTATCATATTTTGTTGCATCGCAAAAGTATACTTTTGATATGCGTACATAATTTTGTTTTAAAAATGTTTGTTTTTTTATGTCAAAAAATAATTATTGTCTTTCTCATAGAAATGAGATAAAAAAAATGTTTTTATGTCCGAACTGTTGACCTGGTACTAGTATAAGTCGTAATTATCAAATTGTTACTTTTTATCAGTGTGGAAACCATAAAATTGGAACGTCCAAAAATAGTAAATTTACCTTTTTACGTATAAACGTTACGTACTATTCAAGCTAGCAAAAACGTGTCAAAGTAGAATTTTGTTTTGTATCACATTGCATTAGACGGGTATTTCAGAAATAACAGTCCTTAAAGTTATCTTTTTAATCACGAACAAATTGAAATACAATAATCGAAACAAATACGACGAACTCTGTTCAATATTTGTTGTAAAAATATAGATGTCAGTAGAATTGACGACAATTTAAATTGCAATAAAAAAAAAAACATGTTTTAATTCAATCAATTCTACGTGATAATAGTTCAGATAGCCCGTTTCATTATTTGTATAAATGTACGCCACGGCATAATTAAATGTGAAATCACGCAAGTCACCGTCGCATGCAAAACTTATAATTGCGCTCGAATAATATTTATTGTCGTTTATTAACGGGTCTTGATTACAGCGTGGCGAAATGTCTTTAATGAGGCGGCTGATCACAATAATATTGTAATTATAAATAACCGAATACACCTACGATGCGCTCTGTTGCTTTTATGAAGTAAACAAAAAGATAGACGAACGACCGACGGTTCTGGGATGGCATGATATAGTGAAATACTCGTTATCTGAAAGTATTTATTTATCTTTTCTTAAATGTGCTTTGCTATTATTCGGTATATTAGTTTTAATAAAGTATATTAAGGTTCATTTTAATAATCATAATTATATTATTCGCTATGAAGAAGAAATCAAGGCAAGGCAATTCCCAAGCCTCGTCATCGTGTCAAATTCAATTAACTTTAATAGCTCGAACGATCTTTTGACAAAATGCTCAAGAATGTATAAGTTGGGTTATGTTTTAGAACAGCAATAATATATTTTTAGACCAATATAATAATTACGTATGATACAAATTTAGAGTATATAGCAAAAAAATACAAAACTTATTGTCCCATCGGATTCTTTAATATATCTTAATTACCAATTTCAAATCGACACCACTTTTTTATGCGAAAAGTTGCCAAACGTGTTCACAGGCGGTTCACCTGATTTTGAGTAAATACTTTCTTATATCTTGTATTAACTCATGTTTTTGCTTTCAGTCCCGAGACTATTAAAGCTTCATCTGACGCAGAACCGGTGGGCTAGCCAGAACCCACGGGTTTGGGCCCTCCGCTGTTGGTAGGGCCACGCATGTGCTCATGCGTGCGTTTAACTATGGTGCGTCATCTAAGGGCCATCGAGGTCGCGGTTCGGACCGAAACTCCGATGGCCGTCGACTGTGCAATTAGCTAATCGGTGGCTAGGAGCGGTGAGAACCGCCCCGGAACGCGGGTGTACCTTGTGTACGCGTTGTGTTGGTCTCGCCGTGCTCGGAGGCGAGGGCGAACTGATGTGATTGTTGTTACACTAACTGTGGGTGTAGTGTTATCCGGCGGGACCCCCAACGGTGGGTTCGACGTATCTAAGTCCCCTTTCTCGACCTGGTCGATGAGGATATTTCGCGGGCGACGCTTGTTGACGTTCGCGTTTGTGTCGTGTTGGTACTTTGCTGCTCTTAGCACCAGAGGGTTGGGATGATGTTCGACTCTATCGAAGAACCGTTTGGAACTTGGTTTTAAAATATTCGCGAATCGTCGGGAGTCTGCAATCGCTGGATCTGGCCTCTATAGGATATGTACAACACCTGAGGGGGTGTAGATGCGATGTTTGTTCATTGACGAGATGTCACTCGGTTGACGCATAGAAGTGATTGGTATTCGGCGCTGAGTACGGCCATAAGCTTTCAAAAACAATTCACAGGTAGTATTAGTATAGGTTAAATTATTATATATGTAATTATAAAGTAATTGTGATAGGACAATAATAAGAAATAACAGTGGTAGGACCAACCATCATCTTCGGCTGTTGCACGAATGACCAGGTCCGTCCGGGTAAGTACCTTACAGAAGTCCTGCGTGAAGTAGAAGGTTTTCTGCGATTCGTCTGGTAAATGAGGTAGTCGGACCCCGGCTATTACATACTACATTACATAATTTTATTAAGAGGTGACTATGCGTTTGCAAACCTACGGTTGTTGCAAAGCGGCGCTTATCACTTAACCTGAGTTCAAAACCCGGCGGCACCGATGAAATTGTTAAATGCAGTTTTAATTGCCGACTTATCACGTGCTCAGCAGTGAAGAAAAGCATTGTGAATATTTCGGTTTCAATTTGCATTTGGGTTGCATGTTGGACTATGCCCTAAAATGCCGTACAAAGGAAAGCCCAGCAGTAGGACATATATTGGATTTTAAAGTAAATCTTTACAATTACGCCAACAGACGACAAACCTCCGGCAATGGACAGGCAAAGAAACAAATATTGAAACAAAGCATTTTCTGATTGACTGCATCGCGCCGCGGATGAATAATGTTACACGCACAAAAAAAATGGATGTCGAATTACTGTTAGTACTGTATTTGGGCCGATTTTCCTCATACCGCAAGATCGCTCGCGGCCTAAGCACTGGCGCAACTGACTTCATTACGAGTAAGAGACTAATAAACATTTCTCGTGTCCAATAACAAAATATTGCAATAAATAATGAGACGTTTGTAATACTAATATCTCAAGCGCATACTGATCTCGATCTGACTCGT